AGGGGAAAATTTGTAAGTACATGGATGGTATGAGCTTGGAAGTAAGGTCTCAATTTCCTAGAGGCCGTGATTAAGGCCAAAGCAAGCTTCTCCATATCGGGGTATCGGGTCTCCGACGATAGGAGCGCTTTACTCGTATAGTAGACGAGAAGTTAGGTGGACCCTTCTTCTCGAATCAGAACCGAACTGATGGCGTCATTGGAGACGGCAAGATATAGTTGCAAGATGTCGCCGGGCTTCGGCTTGGAGAGGAGGGGGGCCTGCCCCAAATGCCTTTTCAATCCTTGGAAGGCCTCTTCACATTCCTCAGTCCATTGGAATTTCTTCCCAGCCTTGAGCACTTTGAAAAATGGGAGGCACTTGTTAGTCGCTTTGGAGACGAAGCGACTAAGTGCTGCCATTCGTCTAGTTAAGCTTTGCACCTCCTTTAGCTTTTGAAGGGACCTCATCTGGCACAGAGCCTCAATCTTCTCGGGATTTGCTTCAATTCCTCGCTGGTTGACCATGTAACCCAAGAACTTGCCTGAAGCCACCCCAAAGGCACATTTCAGGGGGTTGAGCCTCATCTTGTACCTTCTCAGGATTTGGAAGGTGTTGTTGAGGTACACTATGTGGTTTTCTGCTTCTATGCTCTTCACCAGCATGTCATCCACGTAGACCTCCATTGTCTTGCCAATGAGGTTGGTAAACATTTTGTTCAAAAGTCTTTGGTAGGTTGCTCTGGCGTTTTTCAACCCGAAAGGCATCATTCTGTGGCAATAGAGACCTCGATCCGTGGTGAAAGAGGTGTGCTCTTCATCGGCCGGGTGCATGGGGATCTGGTTGTAGCCGGAGTATGCATCCATGAAGCTCAACAACTCGTGCCCAGCCGTGGAGTCCACCAATTGGTCAATCCTTGGAAACGAAAAGCTGTCTTTCGGGCAAGCTCTGTTAAGGTTGGTAAAGTCGATGCATACCCTCCATTTGCCATTGTGTTTCTTAACCAAGACCGGGTTGGAGACCCACCTC